CCCTATCAAGTAATGTGCCGAGATTACTTGATGGTAAAGCGTGTAACCAGTGACTAGATTCCTTAGTCGAAACAGCTAGAAGGCGTGCCTTATCTTGGTCACTATGGAAATTATTAAACAAATCCTTCTGCACGCCCTGTACCAACGGAATATCCCACTGTTTTTGTTGGTTAATTTCCAGCGGAATATTTTCACCAGCACAGAGCGTTTGCCATGTCTGTCCTGCTTCCGTAGCAAAGCATAGGTCTACTTTATTATTTAAAATTATGTTACATAAGTCATTGACACTATGCACGGAAGCAAGGAAAGCAGGCAATGCAACGCTAGAAAGATTTCTCACACCAATGCCACCAAATTTTATAGGTAAAGTAGCTTGAGTCCAGGCTGTTTTATTTAAAGTTAGATTTAGAATTTTTTCTATAGCTATTTTAAGATTATTATCAATATCTTGTAAAATATCCGAACATTTCCAGACTGGACTCGAGCGGAGTAAGTATGTAAATCTAGGTACAAGAAGACGTATAGTGATTCCGTATTGACAGTTTTTATTCGTGGACAAATATGATTAAAATTTTGAATTAAAGTGTCTCTATGAGAAGTAGATAAATTATTGGAGAAAAATATTTCACATTTATTGCTATTTGGTTCAAGGTCAATATTTTTAAAATTTCGAAAAATATGAGTAAGATCGCTGAGGACGTCATCTGCTCTACCTCCCAGTGTACCGTCGTCTAGGTACCAGACATTCAGCTTGGATTTCAAATTTGAAATAATGGGTTGAATTCCCAAACTGAAAAGTGCTGGACCCAGTGGGTCACCCTGCTGAACACCGACAGCAGAATCGATAACATGGTTTTCGTAAAACAAGTTAGTATTTTGACTATAACATTGCCTAACGTAATGATAAATTTCGGGGGTATTGTTAGCCACTTCTTTCAGCAAGGTTACCCTATCGATAGAGTTAAAAGCATTCCTTAGGTCAACCTTCACAAGAACATCTGCATCAGAGTTTGTTAAAAATGTACGCACTGAATGTACCGCCGCCTCACAGCCACCTCTAGTGCCAAAACCTAGTTGAGTAGGCTGAAATTTGGTCTTAAGGTTAGAGATTATGTGCCTGCAAGCTAATTTTGAAGTTAAGCGTCGAAATGTGGAACCAACGGCAATAGGACGGATACCTTTTTTTTGAATGCACATAATCTTGCCCCATATAAGAATGGAATAAAATTTGGATTAACATTACCAGAAAGCATAAAGTTACATAATTTTGTAATGTCTTTAAGAAGTACTCCGCCGGCGTCACCGGCAGAAGCGCTTACAAGATCTTAAGATGTTGAGGCGTAATTCCGTCAATGCCGCCAGCAGAGCCATTCGAAAATGACATAATTGCTTCTAAAGTGTCTTTTTCCGAAATTTGTAAAGGTTGCATAGAAGTCTTGGGAGGCAGCGGTAAACCCTGAGACGTTTTGACCGAAGGATGCTTTTGACGAAGGCTTTCAAGAGTTTCGACATTACGAGGAGCCAGGATGTCGTCTGAGAATAAAATACGGGATGCATTTTTTAAGTCGCCATCCATTACTTTCGACTCAACTACTTTTTTTAAATCAAATTTAGGACGTGGTCGAGATAAATGAGTTTTAATTGGGTAATCTAAATTTTGAAAAGATGTCGCTTTTAGTTGAGACGTAATTGATTTATTTATTGTTTTATCAAAATGAAAATGGGAATACGCGAAAGTAAATAATTTTTGCCAACTATTTTCACTATTAGTGAAACAATTTTGAATAGTGCATGACAATGCTTTAGCAAGCTGCATCCTCGCACCTCTAGGAATTCTTTTAACCACTGGTACATTACGATAATAATTGTAAATTTGCTCCGAAAAATGGGAAACATTTGTGTCAATAGAGGAATTGCTAATAAAGTTATGAATTTCTACGGCAGGCTGTGAAGCCGAAATACTTTTACTCGTCGCATCTGCGCGTCTGCATCGTTTAATATGTATATTTAATCCCCTTTTACCTTTAAACAGCCTACCGTCAGCACAATTTTGACATTGTAGGAAATCCGGCTGTGAATGTAGCGGAGCAGACATATTCATTAAAAAGTCTAAACAGATCTCTACAACACTCAAAAGTCTTTATATTACATATTCATATTAACTTGAAATGTGCTGTACCCCGCATCTTTCCCTGAAACAATCATTTACGGCCTAAATAAAAGCACTTTATAAATGAAATATTATTACATTACTTCCCTGGATTTATTCCATATTGATAAACATTGTATGTATAGTCGTTACGCTTTGACAGTTGTCAACGGCGCAGCAGATATATTTTCCTTTATTAATTAGTATTATGTCTGAATTCAAAAAAAAATATTATTATAATAACTCTCTTATATATTTTCTGATCTTTTTGTTGAAATTTGCAAGCCAGAATTGGCCTCTAAATAACAAAATAAAATAATATAAATATACGTAGCTTTTGACAGTGAAAAATTTTGACATATATGATTATTACATATTAAATTTTTCATTTGTAAATATAAGTTATGTCTTAGCTTATTTTCATGTGTCAATCCCTGTATATAAGGAAGTGTGAAGTGTTTTAAATTGTGCTATTTGCTCATTAGTTCAACTGTAACTTTAATGCAGCAATAAATCTGAGAGCTTCCTCATATTCTAGCTGCATTGGTCAAACTCAATAACCGTTCCCTGTAGCTGATCTCTTCCTTTTATAGCTCTATAAAGTTAGCAGTGAAAAGTCAGCAGAAACCTTAAAATTGTATCTAGGAGTTTGTAGCTAATTTGTTGCTAATTAGTTGCCAAAATCGCGATTATGTAGCTCCAACCGGTTTTGAGAAAATTGATTTACTGCTATCTTTACATTAAGATAGCAGTAAAAACTTTCAATCGACCCCGTCGGAGCGGATAAAAAGGGATAATTTGTTGCTAATTAGTTGCTGAAATATAATGCAAAAAAATATTTAAAAAAATCAAAAATTAAAAAAAGATTAATAAAAATAAAGTTATCGATCGATAAGCTACACCAAGTAATTAGTTCGTAATTATTTGTGTACATACTATATATTGATGAAAATATTAGGAAAAAACATAGCAGATATTTTATTGCCGGCCAGTAATGGAAGCAGCAAGTCATAAAGAGCCAGCAACAAAATTAAATAGATCAGTAAGCTGCACCAAGTAATAACTTAATAATTATTTGTGTACATCCTATATTAACATGAAAATTATAGGAAAAAAGATAGCAGATATTTTGTTTTTACCTACTTGCTGTTACCATTACTGAGCGGCAACAAAAATTCTTCTAACTTTTTTTCCTAAAATTTTCATGTAATTATATCATGTACACAAAAAATTACTAATTACTTGGTGCAAGTCATAGATCGATTTTATTTTGTTACTGGCTCTTTATGACTTTCTGCTTCCAAAACTGAACAGCAACAATATATCTGTTGTTCTGTTTTGAAATCTCCCGTATAGGCAGCATGTACACATTTATTTGTAACTTATTACTTAATACAGCTTATTGACCGATTATACTGAGTGGCCCAAAACTAACGAAGGGGTTTGAATTCGTTATAACTTTTTATTTAAGACATAATGTTTTTTAAATACAGTATATAAATGGGGAATATTTTTAGTTTAGTTATGAAAAATAATATCTCGCAAGTGATGGCCATTTTCTGCTTCGCATATTCGTGCTCTTTCCAACACATTTTCCATAACCTTTCGCAAAACTTCAGGTGTTATGTTGTTTATTTCGTCGCGTATATTGCTTTTTAATTGCTGGATGGTTCTAGGCTTTTTTAATGTAGACTTTTCCTTTCAAATAACCCCAAAGAAAACAGTCTGGAGCGGTTAAATCCAGTGAACGCGGAGGCCAATTAAAATCACTTGTACGCCAAACTACTCTCGTATTTTCCGTAGCCTATATCTTGCAATTTTGCTTATTAACGAACCCACTTAACTGGAAATGGCCTTCGTCGCTCATAATTAAATTATGAATAAAATTATGATTTTCTTCTGCTTTTTGCCGAAAAAAAAACTAAATTGAATATACATATGTTTTTATTCGCTAGGTAACTAGGTATAAATAGTTTATGCAAAAAAAATTTTTTTTAGATTTATAAACTCCATTGTACTTTTTTTGTAATTTGATTTTATTATCTAAGTAGGTACCTTAATTTTTTGATGACTTAAATTGTAATAAATACCTATATAAAAACCAATAAAATGCGTTATTCTTACCTTTTCCAGTCCCCTTGGATTTTTTTTCCTTTCCTTTTTCACGGCGGTAAGAAGAGAGAAGACTTGTCATTTTGTTATTGCACTTTTCTGCTGTTATTTTCAATACATTTCCGATTTCGTCCCACGCATCTTTCTTTAAATTTTGTTTATAAAAGTTTTCATTTTGAGGGTTCCTTAAAACTTCCCTTGTTCTGTATTCCTCTATCAATAAAAGTGACTCGTCATCACTCCACGCACCCTTTTTCACCGCCATGATCGTTGCGCATGCGAAAGAAACGAACGACCGTCCACGGCTGAGTCCTGCGCATACTGCGCGCCCCTTTGTGTTCGTACTAAAAACCGACAAATCTCGGATCGAGCCGCGCACGAGTTGTAAGTACTATACTACACGGGCGATTCTCCCGCCGCGGGAATCCGCTCGACAAAGTTCCCGCAAACCAGCAAACTACACGGAACGCGGTTTACCGCTGTTTTGCGTTCATTTTAACATGGATCCGCCAATGATAACTGCGCTTGCAGCTCTTATATTATTAGAATTATTAAAAAATAAAGTTAACCGCAATGTTTGGGTGGAACCAGTGTTAAGTAACCGTTTAACTTCGGGAATATTTCATTCAATGTTTAGTGCACACCGTGATAACCCTCATAAGTTTTTCTCTTATTATAGAATGTCTGTGAACTCATTTGATGAACTTCTATCAATTATAAGCCAACGTATTAAGAAACAGGATACAAATATGCGAAGATCCATCACACCTGCGGAACGTTTGGCTGTAACTCTCAGGTAAATAAAATATCATTATTTTATTATGTAATCTTTTTTATTAGGGTAAGTAATGCAGAACATTAAAATAATCATCATTTTCCGTTGATGTGTCCGACCCAGTATCGTTTTGTGGGGCGTAAAAAGGACAACAACTCATAATAAATATATCGTTTCTTTTTTGGAGCTGATTGTCCCGACACTGTGGTAGTTTCTAAATTTATTTCTTTTTTATAACTATCTCTTATATTCTTCCACTTCTTCATTAGGTCCTTTACTGCAAAAAAGAAATGTATTATTAATATGGCATTTATTTATTTTTCAGATATTTGGCTTCGGGAGCAAATTTCACTGATTTGGAGTACGATTTTCAAATTTCTCGAAAAACTATACCATTCATTGTAAAAGAAACCTGTCAAGCTTATAGTCAAGAATTAGCACCTTTAGAGATGCCAAAACCAAATAAGGAAAAATGGATAAACATTGCTGAGAAATTTTACAAAGAAGCGAACTTTCCTAATTGCGTTGGAGCCATTGACGGCAAACATATTAGAATTGTTTGTCTTCCGAATGCTGGATCTAAATATTATAATTATAAAAAATATCATTCGATTATTTTATTGGCAGTGGTTGACGCAGACTACTGTTTTACATTCATTGACATTGGTGCTCCAGGTCGAGAAAGTGACTCTTCAATTTTTAAAAGTTCAAATTTCGGGCAAAAGTTAACTCGTTCTCAATTGGATTTACCGGAGCCAATTCATCTTCCTAACAATATGGGAAATCCTCGTGTGCCTTTTGTATTTGTAGGTGATGCTGCATTCGGTTTAAATAAAAATGTTATGAGACCATTTTCTTTACGAAACATAGACACGCCTAAGAAAACTTTTAACTATAGACTGTCTAGAGCCCGCCGCTTTGTGGAATGTGCATTTGGTATCCTTAGTAACAAGTGGCGAATTTTTCATTCAAGCATTATAATCAATCCACAGAGTGCAAAATACATTATAAAAGCTGCTTGTGTATTACACAATTTCGTAAGACGCAGAGATGGTTATCAATTTGAAGATACGATTCGATGTGATATGGAAGAATTCGACGAAGTCCAGGCAGTTGGAGGCCGATCTAGTGGCATTTCAGTAAGAGATTCGTTTGTTCAATATTTCAATGGCCCTGGAGCGGTTCCTTGGCAAAACAGGATGATACATTAAATTAAGAAATAAAATAATAAGTAAACTTACCAGCTTTGTTTTTTTCTTCTGGGCCTAAATCAGCCCAATGAGCAACCACTTCCTGTCCTATCTCCATCCATAACTTCGCTTTTAAAGCCTGATTGGCGTATTCCTTCGACTTCACTTCATATAAAGGAGGTCTTTCTTGTACTTCAATAATAAAACGCTCCGTGTCGAACATTTTGACGCGCCACTAGCCACGCAAGCGCACACACGATGAGCGAGCGAGAAGGTCCCGCGCAGAATGACGCAATATCGGATAACCGCCCGTGTAGTTTTAAACGGCGGTTAACAGCGGCGGTTTGACGCTGCATGCGGCGGTCGAATTTCTACCGCCTGCAAACCGCGGCGGGAAACCGCGCAGTGTAGTTTGTGGCATACAATGTCCATATAAAATTGAGTCTAGTGCGGTTCAGAAGCGGGTTCCCGCGGCGGCAGAACCGCCCGTGTAGTATAGTTCTAACGCTCGGAGAGTGCGCGACCCCGGCGCAGTTCGTGCGCGCGAGGCGTCCACACTATGGGAATTCTGTTACATTACATGATACATTGCAGCAATGTGGACCTCAAATTCTTGCATTGCATGTTGCATTACATGTTGCATTGCACCAATCTGTACCCACTTTAACAGGCGCTCTGTGTAAAGTAGTAAACTGTCTGCTTAAGTTTCAATATATACAACTCTTTAGAAAGGCCACATTTAAATTATTTAGTAAAAGTTTGGGGTAATGCAGCGACGTCCGAAAGGTCTTCAAACCAAACAAAATAAAGTTATGAAAGTCTTATTTCATTATAAATACCTAACACCGACTAAAACAATTTACTCTATTGCCAGAACCCAATATGGAAATAATAATCTGATGTATGAAGGAGCTAAATTACATACTGTTAATAAATTACCTAAGGCCATGTTAAATCTGACAATGATTATATAAATAAGCTTAAGCTATATGTAATAGAAAATATAATTTGCGTTATTTTTTTATTTAGTTTACCAACTTTAATAGCTTAAGATATTCATTTGTAAATAAGTAATAATATAAGTGAAACTTTGTAATTTCTTTAGACAATAAATTTCTTTAAACCTAAATAAGCTTGGCTTTCAGGCATTTCTCTCAATCAATTAAAAAGTTAACCACCTGTTACTATAAAACATTTTCTTTAAAGCAATGCTTAAGACAAAGTTACTCATATATCAAATGGTGGACGGCAGCAGCGGCAAATAATGTGACCGCGGCGCCTTTTGTTGACAGCATACTTTCATTCCAGAGTGACCAGCACAACACTACTCTTTCTACTAAGCCCTTAGCATCAAACAATCCTAATATAACAATATTTGGTAGTCTCTACTGTCAAAGTTATCAATTTAATAACGTTACCGTAACAACACTATTGAAAACTTTACAATCTATTGATATGTTAGCAAATATTTTATCAACCATTTTTGAGAGCCCGATAAGTGTACGTTACGATCATAAGCCTCTTTAAAAATTTGTTTTGGAGTTTTATCGATTTAAAATCTATATTCTATCATAATATATAATTATAAAAGTATTAAGTAATAATGGCGGAATCATATCTAGCATGGGATTTATCAGTGCTAGAACACAGGCGTGTTATGGTTATGCGGCGGCAAATCGCATGTAACCGGCGCGAAAGTGAAAATCCTTTGGATTTAGAGGATAGTGAATTCTTGTACCTTTACAGAGTTACAAAAGATATGTTTAGCGAGCTCGTAGGTGCACTTAGGCCATCTCTTCAAAAACAACGGCCGTACGGACTTTCTGTAGAGTCCCAAGTGAGTGTCATCATGTAAATGCCTATATACCTTTAAAAACTAACGCTTTTTCGTTTGTATTAACTCTTAGTTTCATTTTCTTCTAAATAGCTACTGACGGCACTTCGATTTTATGCAAGTGGGTGCTATCAGCTACCTATTGGCTTACAGTGGGGTTGCAGCATGAGCCAAAAATCGGTTAGCCGAGTAGTACATGCTGTAACCGAAGCTATTAATGAAAAATTATTGAGAAAATATATAAAATTCCCTATGACCCCTGAAGGGCGGCGAGCTGCTAAAGCAAAATTTAGGAAAGCCCCACAGCCATTTCCGGATGCGATAGGAGCCATAGACTGCACACACATAAAAATTCTAGCTCCAAAGTTGCATGAAGAGGCATATGTGAGCGGTCACCATGAGGGACATTCATTAAATGTACAAGTTGTAAGTTTAATCTTCAGTAGTTATTGTTTACCTATTTATTTGCTAGTTAAGTTTCAGGAGCGGTGCTGAAGCTTTTTAAAACAACTAAATATGTCTCCATGAAATTTACACTACAATAATGTATTATTGTAACATAATAGCTATATATTTCAGTGCAAAACTGATTTCCTTAACTAAGTGATAACATTACTATGATGAGAATTGTAATTATAATAAATCTTATTCTAAATCCAAGGGCTTTTATAGGATGGTTAAAACAAGTCTGTTGACTGAAAATATGACACCTTGGTTTAACCAGCAATAACAATTAATTATAGTGGAGTCAGTGTCTTCTGTAATGTTATACTTCATAACATGTTTTCAGTAATCCAATATCAACAGCTTAATCAGCACAGTTCACAGTCAAACATGTTATTGTAAAATTATGGCTACTAGCAATTATCATGTTTATGAGTAATCTAATATCAAAATCTAAGTGAGAACAATTTGGGATCAACAGGTTTTAAGGCTATTTATAGACTGCATAACTTGCTTTGAAAACATGAACAAAGTATCTTCCCCTTATTATTGATAGTAAAAATAGTCTTATTAGATACATTTTACTCAGCAGTTTAGGTGAAAAAGTTTAAATTATACTAATTAGTCTTAAGGGCTTAAATTGTAATTTTATTGCACCTAGTTGTTACACTCTGGAACATCATCATCATCAATAATAAATAAATCTATTTACTTATTTATTAGCACAAATAGGTACACCCCTAATTAAAAGTATATTTTAAATTATTTTAGGTGTGTGACCCAGACCTGTTAATTTTGAACATCAATGCTAAATGGCCAGGAGCCAGACACGATGCTCACATATGGGCAAATTCACCTGTACGCTCAACCATGAAGCGACATTTTGACAATAGGGATCGCCGTACATGGTTACTTGGTAAGTTAAAGACCAATTTTACTAGAATGTAATGTCTGTAAGACTGCCGAATGTAATTTCGATGTTTAAACTTTTAGGTGATGATGGATATCCTCTGGAGCCATGGTTGATGACCCCAATAAAAAATCAACACCTTGGGACGCCGGAGCGTAGATACACAGATGCTCATGGTTCAGCCAGAAACATCATAGAAAAGATGCTTTGGTGTGCTAAAGTCTGTTTTTAGGTGTCTGTCTCATCAACGCCAGTTAATGTATGAGCCATACACTGCTGGCCTAATAGTAAATGCATGTGCAGTACTACACAACATGCGTATTAAATATAGATTGCTGGAACCATATGTCACCACATCCACAGAAATCATTGTTGATAGCTATAATGATGATGGCTTGGAAGATACAGGTAATAATGTTGTTTAGGTAATATTAGATTAGACTTTGTTGTCTTAATCTAATATTACCTTGTCGTGAAGCGACAATTAAAAAAAAAATAGAACCTAACCTAAGTACAACAAAACAACAAAAGTAGAGCCAGAAAACAATATATTTAAATTTATAAAAGGTATTTACAATTTTATAAAAAAATGAAATGAGGATGATGATGAATGAAGTGAGAGTACAATTAGATTATAAAAAAAAATAAAGGTGAGAGAATAGGGGAATATAGTGTTGTAGTGGGGCCTAAAAGTCGAAGCGACACACGTTGCGTTTGTAGAGGTAGGTTTCTTAGCAGCGACGGCACGCAGCGCCTGAAGCCAGCACACGCCGTTTGCGCTTGTAGAGGTAGGTTTCTTAGCAGCGACGGCGCGCAGCGCCTGGAGCCAGTACACGCAGTGTCCGGAGCCGGCGCACGTAGCGCCTGGAGAAGGGGCGCTCAACGCTTAGAGCCAGCAGTTGCAGCGCCCAAAGGTAGCGCCGGCGGTAGGTGCACTCGGCGCCTGGAGTAAGTAGTCGTAGCGCCCGGAGTAGTGTGGCCCCCGCGCTTGTAGTAGTCTCGGAGCGACTTCCGAGGTAGATGGAGGCTTGTAGGAATCCGGAGTGGTGCGGCTCCGCGTTTGAAGAAGGCTTCGCTGAAGACTTCACGTGTAGGTGGAGGCTTGCAGGATCCCGGGGCAGTGCGGCCCCGGGATAAGGCCTTTAGGAGATACTTCCAATTCGCGAACTGAAGCGAGACTGCCTTTCTTCACCGATTGTTCGGCTTCTAGAGAGAACGGAAAAATTATTTAAATTATACGCAAATTTTTTGTAAATGGTCAAGAGAAAAGAGGATTTATGTGGAATTATCGAAATAGGAATAACAGATCGGTAGCAAATTTGAATATAATTACCATGGAAACGATATAAATAAGAAAGACAAAACATGTCAAATTTTTGTTTTTGGTTTATAATAAGAAAACGGTAAGATTTAAGTGGAAAATGAGATATTATTGATATAGGAAAAAAGGTAGCGCAGCTGCCCACACAAAGCCCAAGATTGTAGAGTTACGGAAAACTAGCTAAAAGATCGAAAAAAGGTAGACTCCATTGACACCAATTTAAAAGTGCTGATAATGTGAAAATACGAAGTAGAAATGATTTGTTATTGTGTTCTTATGGTTTAAAATCGTTACAGGATCCTATGGAAATAAAGGTGATGTAAAATATCCAGTTTTGAGGTGAATGCAGAAAATCGAAACAGAATGGAAAAATGAATTTAAAATAATGTAAAATGATACGTAAGTAGTATAACACTACATTTTCCCCTCGACCCTGGAAAATTTTCGACTCAGCAAAAATTTTGATATATACATTCTAAAATAAACCATAAAAACACAGCTTTGCAGAAACAGACATCACCAGGCAAAATCAGATATACCATCTCTTACATTCATCATCTGCCGTTCAGGTAAGGGTGGAGTTCACATTCAATGACTACCACTCTAAAAGTGTGTTTTCAAAACGACATTAAGGCTTATTTAAGGAGTAGTCATCCGCTCCTGCGTGGAAAAAAAAATAAATTAGTCGAAGAAACACCACTCTTAAAAGTGTGTTTTCGAAAGGACATTCAGGCTTATTTAAGGAGTTGTCATCCGCTCCTGCGTGAAGATAAAAAAAATTATTAAGGGAGTAATCAGCCGCTCCCAAGTGAAGATAAAGATAAAGAAATACCTCAAGTAAGCTTTAGTCGCTATGACTTAAGTAAAGATTAAGAACGGCCAGAGCGGTAGGGCTCAGAGCCAGAGAACAGCAACATCACCAACGAGATGTATCTGAAATAAAAATAAAAAGTGACGATTAACCAACGAAAGTTCGAGGTCCTAAAGCAAGATTTGTTGAAGAACACTGGATCATCAAACAAACAAACAAATTAAAAGAAATAAAAATAATAAGGTGAGAATGATGGTGATATTTATACATATATACAAATTAATAGTTAATAAAAGTTAAGAAAATTTATGATTTTACATCTTTGATGTGCCACTTGCCTCTAACTCCATTAGGGTCTTCAAGTACATAGACTAGTGGTGACAGTTTAGCTATCACTTTGCACTTGATGAACTTAGGGGCAAGTTTAGCATTAAAGTATGCGCCGGCATTGCTTAAAACATGGTTTTTACGCCAAACAGTATCTCCCACATTAAATTCTTTAAAAGCCCGGCGAAGATCATAGCGAGCGCTATTTTTAGCGTGCGCTATGTGAAGTTTAGTTTGAACTTTGTGAAAGATAGATGAGAGGAGACCAGCATTAGACGCGTAAATATCACGAGGCATAAATATTAATTCCTCGAGGTTCTGAGTTGGAGTATAGAAGGAACCACAAGGTATTGTTTCCCTACCAAAGACTAAAAAGTTTGGAGTAAAGCCAGTAGCTACATTTGTAGCGCTGTTCATTGCGTACTGAATTTTAGTAAGATGGTTGTCCCATGATCTATGATCGTCTCCTACTAGAGATGCTAGAGCTGTAATAATTGTACTATTAAACTTCTCCGTAGGATTAACCTGGGGACAATATAAAGCTGTGTGAAAAATAAAAGGAACGTTATAAGAATTTAAGAATGAGTGGAATTCTCGCGACTGAAATTGAACAGCATTGTCTATTATAATAGTTTGGGGAATGCCATGAACTAGAAAAACTGAATTTTCCAAAACATTAATAATATTAGCTGAAGTAGCACGTTTAAGGGGAAAAATCATAGTATATTTAGTAAAATTGCAGTTAATTACTAGAATATACTGATTTCGTCTTCGAGTCATAGGCAATGGACCCATAAGATCTAAGGATATAGTTTGAAAAGGTCTGGAGCAAAGTTTAGGTTTACCCATAAGACCATAGGGAGAATGATTAGGGTGTTTGTAGGTTAAGCAGGTTTCACAAGTTGAGATTAAATTGGCAATATCCTTAAACATACCAGGCCAATAGTATTTTAAAGATATTTTCTTGAATGTCTTGAAGATACCAAGATGGAGTTCTGAAGGGGAACCATGGTTAACTTCAATAATTGCATGTCTATCTTGAGGTAGTGGAACTTCTTTCCAAATAAAGTCATCGTTTAGACGATCGGGAGAATGGATGCAGCGGTAAAGTTTGTTATCCCTGATAGTATAGTTGGGATATGAGTCTGGGTTGTTGGAGCATCCGAGAAAAATCTTGTTGTAGTGCTCAAGTTTACGATCGGGTGGTTCTTCAATAGTAATAGGATGTACGCCTTGAGGTGAAATTTCTCGTGTATCAGGACGTTCTTGATTCTTATGTCTTGATAATAAATCTGGAACAACGTTATCCTTTCCTTTTTTATGTTTCAGGACAAAGTTAAAGCAAGATAAGCGTAAAGTCCAGCGAGCAAGTCTTCCTGATGGATTCGATAAGTTCTGAAACCATTTAAGTGCAGCATGGTCAGTATATATTGTAAATTCTTTACCATTGTCTAGGTAACATCGCCAATGTTCTAACGCAGTTATTACAGCCAATGTTTCTCTTTCAGTAGTTGAGTAGTTCTGTTGATTTTTGTTTAGTGCTTTACTCATGTAAGCAATCACGGCTTCTTTGTCATCTTGATGTTGAGTAAGCATTGCTCCTATGCCATAGTTTGATGCATCACAATGTACAGAGAAGGGTAGTTCGAAGTTAGGACAAGCAAGGACAGGAACAGTTACCAAAGCTTCTTTAAGTTTCTGGAAAGCAGCTGCAGCTTGAGAATTCCAAAGAAATTTAGGAGCGTTCTTCCCGGAACAGGTTAGTTGATTGAGTGGAGAGGCAATAGTGCTAAAGTTTGGAATGAATCTTCTGAACCAGCTGCAGGTGCCTATGAATCTTCGCACTTCTTTTCTACAAGTAGGTACAGGATATTCTAATATAGCTTTTATTTTATCTGGATCAGCACGTAGACCGTACTCGTCCACTAGAAAACCAAGGTATTTCAGTTCTTTCCTGAAGAATTGACTCTTCTCAAAGTTAATAGTCAGATTAGCATATGAAAGTTTTTCATGGACTTTCATGAGGAGTGATATGTGTTCATCAAAAGTCTCGCTAATGATAACGATGTCGTCCAGATAGCAAAATACCTTGTTCTCAAATTCAGGGGTAAAAAGCATATCCATTAATCTTTGTAGAGTTGCAGGTGAGTTAGAAAGACCAAAAGGCATTACCTTGAATCTAAACATACCTCTTCCAGGTACATAAAATGCAGTTTTATCCTTATCAGCAGGATTCAAGGGAATCTCCCAAAATGCTTTCGCAATGTCGATGCTTGATAAGTATTTGGCTTTCCTCAAGTTGTCCAAAATTTCGCTTATTAGTGGCAGACTATAAGCATCACGACGTGTAACTGAGTTAAGCTTCCTGCTGTCTACGCAGAAACGCCATTCACCATTCTTCTTCGGAGTGATGAGAACTGGAGATAACCAAGGACTTTCGCATTGTTCAATGACGTTCCATCGCAGCATCTTGTCAACTTCATTAATTAACGCCTTTTGTTTTTCAGGAGACAGTCTGTAACATCTTTGTTTGATTGGGAGAGAATCACCAGTGTCAATCTTGTGGGTGATTAAGTGTGTGCATCCCAGGATACCTTTTTCTTCAAAAGAAATTGTCTTGAAGCGTTGGATGATGTCATTAGCGATGTTCTTTTGATTAGGAGTTAAATGCTCATAAGGTAAAACTTTAGTATCTTTAGTTTCGATAGCAGAACATTTAGATTCTGTAAAGTTAAGAGAAGATAAAACACTAGGTAAAAGATTAAATTTTCTCCAAAAGTCAATACCTAATATTAGCGAAGGAAAAATTTCAGGGAAAACGTAAGCTTTAATTAAATGAGTTTGATTATTGAAATGAATAGGTAAGTCAAAATAACCCAAGGAATTAACTTTTTGATTATTAGCAGTAGAGACAGTAATAAGATCTGACTTGAAAAGTTTGCAGCCCAGTTTAAGAATTTCCAAATGAGAATTATTACCCAGAATAGTTACTGAACTGCCAGAATCTAGTAAACCAGATAAAGTTAAGTTATAAATTTTGACATTAATGAATGGACGATTAAGATCTTGTTCCTTGGAGTAGAGTGTAGAAGAGATTCTGTAACAAGAAAAGAAGTTTTGAATTGTTTTAATCCAATTAGTCCAATCGTCGTTATCAAAGTTTAAGTTACTTTTCAA